GTTTTCTGCCGTGACAACATGGGAGCAGTTGTGGGCACTTTGACGATGCAAACCAAGCAGAGGAGACCGTCCAGAGGTACGTCCATGTTGGTCCAAAACAGACAGAGAAGTCTAAAGAGCAACAGAAAGAATATCAGCTTATCAAACAGAAAAAAACAAACAAACAAACACGTGGAACAGTTGAAATATATTGTTTGGGTTTGGGTTTTTTTTTCTATGTTTTGCATGTGTGCAAATTTAACCAAATTGAACATATTTACATTTGGACCTGTTGAGAAATCAGAAAATTACAATAATGATTAGGAAAACCAAATGTCTATTTAGCAAAAATAATATTCAACGATGTTTTCAAATGTACTTATTTCCTTTGGAGTCGTTTTTTTTTTTTTAGAAACTGTATATACATTGTAAAATGTTTACTATTTTAAATTGGGAATTGGAGAAGATACTCAAGGTAAACAACAACAGAAATGTAAAGAAATGAATTTGTGTAAGTTCTCTACCGCAAATGCAGATGTGAACAGTGTAACAGCTGTGCTTGGACCCGTGATGGAGAGATTACAGTGTATCGCAGATGTCAGATGTCCTTGAAAACAACTACGGCGCAAAATCACTGCCCTGACTCTGTCATCGTGTGTGCGTGTGCATGTGTGGGGGTGGTTGCCTGTCGGTGCTAGTGTGAGCTAGCTTGAAAGTTAAAAAAAAAGAAAAAGAAAAAGGCAGCAAATGATGGTCTTGGCTATCGAGCATGTGAATTAACACGCAGCTCACATATCATACCGCCCTGGCCTTATGCTTGAGAAGCCCGTTGTCATGGAGACTGGGTTGTAGAGGCACAATATGAGAGTGCGAATAACACTCTCGCCAGGGTGAAGGATAAATTTGTTGCAGTGTGTGATAAAAAAAAAAAAAAGTGAGAACCCAGCAAATGAAGCAGCCGCTCTTTGGCTCGCAGAAATGTTTACTATTGGTTTTAAAAAGGCTATTTGCTGTTGGAAAAAAATGCAGGGGTGTAAATTATCTACCCTTGTAGGCACTGAGCTGCTGGTGCGTTATCAACGCGATGAACTTTGTAGACGGATATCCTCGAAGGCAACATAAACACACGCAGCAGAGACAATTTCAGAACAGAATATCAAAATAATTCTGTTTAAATAATGGGCTCATTTTCTTACGTTTTTTTTTTTTATATTAGACACTGACACATGTTAACAATACGACCGAGAGGAGACTTCTTGCAGTTTTTAAAACTTTAAAATTAAATATGCTACAAAAGTCATATACACATGTTTGTACTTTAAAATTAAATATGCTACAAAAGTTATATACACATACATATAGTTGTTTACTACTGTTCAGCGTAAGTGACTCAAAATGCAACAGGTTAAATGCCATTATTTTTAAGTGTGACTATCGATTGTAGTAATATGAAGGTGTAGCGGCAATGCTGTGATTTACTTCATCATGTGACACCAACCTCCTGGTGTATATTGTTGGGGGGGAATTGTGTTTGACTGTGTTTATCAATGTCTAGACGTGATTCTAAGGTCCATTTTTTCCCCATCTCTGCAGATAAGGCAGACGATGAGCTTGAGATCACGACAGTGTGTTACAGACCGGAGGGCCTGGAGCAGCTAGAAGCCCAAACCAACTTCACCAAACAGGAACTGCAGATCCTTTATCGAGGTTTCAAAAATGTAATTGACTACATTATAACACCAAACACTACAACAAGAGTGAGCCCTAAAGTAGTCAAATTATTATATTTTTTTTAACTTTTGATTTAATTTTTTTTGCAAACCTTATGTTTCTTTTTGTCTGCTGACCCT